ACTGTATAAATATTACAACAATGCTGGGGATTGTTTAGAATATCTAGAAGATGCAATAGACTATTGATTATGACCAAAAAGAAAGGGCTACAAGAACTACAACGTTAAAGGGGTTTAATTGTTTCGTATGATTATTAAACCCCTATATATTAAAAAACCATGGAGTATTACTATTTAAAGAAATGCGCTTTTGAAAAGGGTGTGAATTAGTCTCTATGAACTAAGGTGCATTTGGGTAAATTCTATGCAGTTTTTGTACATATACTTTTTTTTATAAAAATATATTCAAAAAACTAAGCAAAAAAAAACAAGAAAAAACCCGATTTTTTATATTTGCCGCATAACTTTTTCACGCGGTATAGTTATTAATTAGCATTACGTTACAGAAAAAAGATTTCTATCGTTTAGTAGACGTTTGTAAATAGTATCTGAGATAAGATTTCTCAAAGTTAGTCAATCACATCATTTTTGGGCCATTTTTACTATTTTTTCTGCGTAGTTTTAGGTATATGCATTACATTTGCCCATTTAATCTTAGGTGTAGCAGCCCTGAATAGTTCTATGGAGGTCATGTTCGTCCATTGCCGTAGGTTTTTAAGTCAAGAGTTGCGTCTTCTTCCTGGTCCTCTTTTGCTATTGACTTTGCCTTCGATTATAAGTTGGAGCAGTTCATACTTTTGATTTCTTATAATGTGACCAAAATATTGTGTTTTCCGTTCTTTTATTAAAAGCATAAGCTTTCTTTCCTTGTTCATCCTCCACAAGACTTTCGCATTTGTCGTATGGCTCATGTAGGATATTATGAGCATTTTACGGTAACACCAGAGTTCGAATGCTTGGATTCTTTTTTGTGTTGCTTCTGTCATTGTCCAGGCTTCAACACCATAGAGCAAGGTGGAGAAAATATAGCACTTAAATATTCTAGTCCTCAATGAGATGCTCAGCTGGCGGTTGCATAGAACTTTTTGCATTTTGCAAAACATTGTACGTGCCTTTTCCAGGCGTATTCTTATCTCTAGTGAGTGGTCCCAAGTTTCATCAAGATTACTTCCAAGGTACGTTGTTTTTCTTAGTCTTTCCAGATCTGTTCCGTCGACATTGACCTTCACCCTTCTGTTTTGGTGCTTGCTGATGACCATCGTTTTTGCCTTCTTTGTATTTAATTTCATTCCAAATTCTCTACAGGCTGTCGTTACTCGGTCCATTAAGCGTTGCAGGGCTTCAGCATTATCTGCCAGTATGACAGTGTCATCAGCATATCGCCGGTTATTTATACATTGCCTGTTTATAATTATACCATCCGAGGTGCCTTCCAAAGCTTTCTGAAATATCTTCTCAGAGTAAACATTGAACAGCAAAGGTGATAGCACACATCACTGTCTTACTCCCTTCTCGATATTGATTTTTCCAGATATTTCGCTTTTTATTCTGATTTTAGCCTTTTGTTCTTGGTAGACGTTTGAAATGATCCTTAAGTCTTTATCGTCGCTATTACATGACCTTAAAATATCTATTAGTTTATCATGTTTCACCAGGTCAAACGTCTTCTCAAGGTCTATAAAACACAAGAATACATCAGAATCGACATCTCTACATCTTTTAACTAGCACACGTATTAAAAAAAGTGCTTCTATTGTTCCGAACCCATTCTTAAAACCAAACTGAGTTTGACCAGTGTGTTCGTCTAGTTTATTGTATACTCTATTGTGTATAACTCGTAGAAAAAACTTCAACATATGATTCATCAGGCTAATAATCCTATGGTCTTCACATTTCTTGGAGTTTCTTTTCTTTGGTAGTGGTATAAACACCGATGTCAGCCAATCATTTGGTATTATGTCTGTTTCGTATATTTTGTTAAATATATCTTCCATTACTTCGATGTTTTCATCTAGTAATATCTTTATTATTTCAATTGGGATATTATCTGCCCCAACAGCCTTTCCGTTCTTTAACTGATTTTCCGCTTTGATAATTTCTTGCTTTGTGATATAAGGTACAGTCGATGCCTCCTGCATGTAAATGTTCGTCCTCTCTCGGTCTTGAAACATCTCTTCCACGTATTCTCTCCATCTACCTATTTGATCTTCTATGTTCAGTAGCGGGTTCCCATGTTTATCTTCGATGAAAGACGTAGGAGTTTGTTTAAATATTCCAGCGGCTTCTTTTACTTTTCTATGTAGATTGAAAGTATCATGTCTCTGTTCCAACTCTTCAATTTCTTGGCGTCTTTCTCTTAGCCAGGTTTCTTTGGCTTGTTGGATCTTTATTCTGATATTCTTGTGTATTTGCTTGTATTTTGTTACATTTTTACCTCTGTATTTTCTTCTTTCGTCCATCATGTTTAGAATTTCTTCTGTCATCCATGGTTTGTTCTTTTTTCGTGTATCTTGTTTGAGGTAGTCTTTACTCTTGTAAGTATTTTCTCAATATAGTGGCATTCTTCCTCGGGAGTTTGTGTCGATTGTACTGTTCTGTTACTCAAGTGTCTATGTATTTCTTTCCGTATTTTATTACTAGTGGATTCTTCTTTAAGCTTATCTAGGTTAATAGCTATTATTTGCTTATTTCTTTTTGTTTTTTTAAATTCTATCCTAATTGTTGCAAGAAGAAGATTTTGGTAGGTGGGGATGTCAGCTCCGGGATATGTCTTGCATGCTTTTATTGCGTTTTTGTATCTTTTGTTGACCATTATGTAATCGATTTGATTTGTTGTGGTGCGTCCTTCTATTCCATCTGCTGGAGATTTTCACGTGTAGAGACGTCTGGGTGGTAACTTGAAAAAGCTGTTCATTATACTGTACTGATTTTCTTTACAGAACTGAAGCAGTCTATCTCCCCTCTCATTTCTTATTCTGGGGCCAAACTCCTTCACCGTGTCATCTTCTCTTCCTTTTCCAATCTTGGCGTTAAAATCTCCTAATATTATGTTGGTTTCATGCTTCTTTGTCTGCAGTAGAGTTTTGTTTAGGTCTTCGTAGAATTGTTCTATTTCTTCTTCTGTGCTTTGACTAGTTGGGGCATATACCTGGATAATATTCGTATTGACTGGTTTGCTGTCTATTTTTATTAGCATTATTCTATTTGATGTTGGTAGTAATCCAGAAACTAATTTTGCAATTTCATTAGATGTAATTATTGCTACACCGTTTTTATTTTGAGTGCCTTCATCTCCAGAATAGAATATTGTATAGTTGCCCATCACACAGGTACCTGTATTTGGCCATCTTACCTCACTGCATCCCAGTATATCGATATCAAATCTTTCCATTTCTTGAATTAAATTTGCGGCCTTTCCCGCTTCATATAGACTTCTCACATTCCATGTGCCTATTCTTTTGTTTTCCTCCGGGGGATTCTTAGCACCCTCTCCTCATTTAAGAGGTGCCTGGGACTGAGGGCCGTTGTTTTAGGTTCTATGAGCATTATGTAATTTTGCTGTATTTTGCTGTACATTTAATAGAAACAAAAATTATTTAGGTACAGCTGGTTCACAAAAAACTGATACGACTCTTAGTAAGATTTGATGATTTTAATAAGTGTATTTGATTAATCTGACATATTGTAAATATTTATTATGACAGACAAATAATAAAATAAACAAACAAATAAAAAAGAATTGATTACATGTGTTAATTTATAAATTGTAATAGTTGTTAAGGTCTAAATTTTAATACATAAAATAGGGTTTTTACATAAAATAGGATTGTTGTTACTATTTTTATTATTATTAAGGAATAAAACAAACACCTTAACTCAAAAAAATATTAAAGCAATAATTGTTTCCAAATTAAAAGATAACTGGACACTATCAGAGGCGGCAAAACATTTTAACATAAGCAGAACCACAGTTTTTCTACTAAGAAAAAATGGAGGGAACAAGAAACTCTCGAAAGAAAGCGACGATCTGAAAGACCAAAACTGTACTAAACTTAGGTATGTAAAAAGAAAATTAATAATTTTTATTATCTCCATCAGCATTGATATCAGCTTGTATTATTCGGCCATCTACGTATGGAGTATATCTGCGTAAAAGGAACTATAAAATTGTCTTCTTCCGAGAGCTCTACCCAAACCTGTTGTATACCGTGCCACAGCTCTTCCCCGTTTTAACGTATAAAATTACGTTGATGCAACCAGTTTGTAATAACCCTCCACAAATACTCGATTGGGTTTCAATCTGGACTGTAGTTGGGCTATTTTATGGTTTTAATGTAATTATTCTGGCGCCACTGGTTTATTATATTTGCAGTGTGAACAGGACAATTGTCTTGTTAAATGATAAAGTTATTGTCTGGATACAATTGTTCCACACTAGAAAACATGACGTTTTCCAGAATATTCAGATAAGTCTACACAACAAACCTGCCATAAATACGTCATACCATTCCGATTCCTCTAGATGAAATCTATCCCCCAAGATTGGCGTTAAAATGACCATCCGCTTGATATATATCAACGTATAGAGAATTAGATCTATTATTATCTGGTCTATAAACCCCTATTTTGCTCTTTTTAGAAGATTGAAAAGGTTATTATCTGTAAATATTACCCTGTCCCAAATATTTTAATTTTTTAGTTGACAGTATGATATTTAATTTTTTAGTTGACATGTTTTTTGCTGCAGTACCTAAGACGCGATGCTTTAATTCTGCGCCAAGTTGTTGTCTTTTTTCCCGGAAAGTGTGACATAATTCATGCAGTTTTTGCATCTTCAAAAGGATTCTCTTCTTATCGCTCCAAAAGCGTACGATCTACATAAGCGGTAGATATTTTTGGTCTTCTAGAACCTTGTTTGCTTTCGAGAGTTTCTTGTTCCCTCCATCTTTTATTAATATTAAAAACTGTTGCTCTGCTTACGTTAAAAATGGTTCGCTATGGCAGATAGTAACCAACCAGCTTCTAATTTCGTTACAATTCTTGCTTTTACTTCTTTGCCAGCACGTTGAGTCATTTTTTGAGGTTAAACAGAATAGGTTATCTAAATAATTTTAAGATTTGGCAGTGACAGTGACAATATGTACACAATTAGTATTTATACTTTAAAATACACTGCTCAAGTTTCTATCAAATACGCTTTTAAGCGGCGTCCTCATTGAGTTGACATTGTCGATCGACTCTGTCTATCGACACTGTCGACCGACAAATCGAAAAAGCTTCGATGTCCACACCAGGTAGGCAGAATATTTGTCGACAGTCGAAACGAAAATGTGTGACGAAGATGACGCCATTATTGTTTGTGCCGCATTTGTTATTATCACAACTAAAAAACGTAAATCATCGCGTAAAAGAAGATTTTGGGTTCGACCAAGCCTTCAAAGTAGAAATCGGTATAGCGGTAGTAACCTGATGGAAGATTTGAAAAAGGATGATATCGATCTATTGAACCTTGAATACAGATGTAACGGAGGTTTCAGAAATTTTTTTCGAATGTCGGAAAGTGAATTTGAATATTTGTTGCAAAAAATCGGGCCAAAAATTTGTAAGCAAAACACCAATTGTAGACATGCCATTCCAACAAAGGAGCGTCTCGCTGTGACATTACGATTTTTATGTAGTAGAGATTCGTATCACTCACTGATGTATCTTTTTAAAATTTCAAAACAAGCAATTTCTCAAATTATTCCGGAAGTCTGCGATGCCCTTATTGACACATTACAATATTACATAAAGGTAAGTAGAGTTTTACTAAAACTACATTCATACTGAAAGAGGTATATTATAATTACATTATCGAATTATATTAACTAAAACGAAACTTACAAAAACGTACCAAAGTAGTAAAATGTAGTGAACTAATTCGGAAATAAAACTAAGATTTCAAATAAATGTACGTATCAAACACAAAATAAAAAATAATGCTGGTTATATCTACTGTGCTTATTGTGAAGTGCCACGTCCCGGACGTTGTAGTTTTTGAATTAAATTATCTATGGCTTCGTCATCTTCAGTACCTGATTTTGCCGGAGTTGAGGGGTTAGTAAAAGAAGAACATCAAGAATGCTCTGGGGATGGTTGCGGTATTAAAGTCGTTATTGAACCAACAGGATACTGCTGGAGCTGATGCTGAGGATAATATTGCGGTCGTGGCTGTTGTGATACTGGATAGTTGTAATTGCCCAATTTTCCTTCAAACAGAATCGTGCTTATCATGTGTTGCACTGTAGCTTGAGCATAAGCGGTAGGCAAATTTAGTATAGTAACAGCAACTTCTTCTCCAAATACGCTAAAGATGTCCTTTTTATTTCTGTCCAAAAATACCTGTGTCATCATCCTGTATGCATCATTAACCATTGGGTCATCACCTTTCCTTTTCTTGGAATTCACATGGTCAAGATTTAGTGACTTGAACTGTTTTTTCGGACTTGTGTTTCTCTTTGTGCGTTCAACTTTTTCGGCATTTCCAGCATTTGCATTATTACATTCTGCTAGATTGTTTTCTGTTGAATCATTTGTGGTAATAAAATCGTGACTATTCTCATCATTTTCAGTGATGTCATTCACATCTCCTTTATCTTCCAAAGTATCTACTTCAGTTGAAACCTGTAATCAAGAGTATATATATTAGATAAATTAGAAATTAAATAGGTTAGATAATAAAAATAAATAGGTCTTTTTATTTCAGATGCCTAAAACTGAGGCAGAATGGAAAGCTATTGCAGAGGACTATTACAATCGTTATAGAGTCGTATTAGTGTTTTAGGAACCAACTGTATCTTTAAAATTGTCTATTGCAAAAATGCTTTAGGGGGAATTTTAAGCCAGATCTGGTTCTTCAAGCTTTCCTACATGGGATTTTTGCTTTTTTAACTTATATGGGTATTTTTTAAAATTTTTATTCAAACTTTTTTCTTATGTTCTTTGTTCTTCAAAATACTAGATGCTAAAATATTCTAGGACTATCGGTAACGGTAACACGGTAAAGACGCGTTAGAAAGCAGTTGCTTACAGTGTTTGAGATCCACAACTTAAACAAACACGTCAATTAGCTAAACCTATAACCCTTGGAAAAAAACTTATGTACCTACGCTTTTTTTAAACGGTTACACTATTACATTGTTAAAATACACTATTAAACCTAAGTAACTCTTATCCTGCTCAACGCATTATAAAACTGTTATTCTATGACGAGAAATCAGTTCATAACAATCAGATTCAGTTTTACATAGGTAGCAACTATTAAGGAAACGATTTTAAGGAAACAATAATTATTAACAACGTTGATACAATAATAATAGATCATGATAATCATCATCCAAACTTCTACGTCCAAAGTTAAACATAGGCCTGCCTACAGCCAAATCTTAGCAATTGTTTTGACGTCGTCTGGAAACAAATAATAAAACTATAAAAATAGATAATGAAGCCAAACTAGATCTAGTCATACCTTAACCTTAGACAAAGTCCAAGTGAATCCCATTTTACGGTTTAAAAAATAGTAAGCAAAACAAACATACGTATTGCATCGTTGGCATGAGTAAAAATAGAATTTGGAGCATTATTGATATTGAGAGAAAACAAAATTGGATATTAAAACAAATACTACTATAACAGTATAAAAACAAACAATTGTCTTGATTTTTATTGTGCTTCATAATGGAATTATTGACAACAGAATTTTGATGAACTGATAAAATGAAATGTTACCAATTATTAGAATATTGTCATATGTTATGGTTCCTAATCTGACATTTTTATAAAGTTAAATTTTATTTAATTAAATAAACTATAACAGTACAATTTTGTGTTTTATTCTGAACAAATGATATGAAACCATATCTAAAACTCTGGCTAACAGTTTAGAAAATTAAATGTAAATATTCCCTCAATATATTATTGTTATGTTTCACAAATTATCAGTAGTAGAGCATATTAAATACATTATATATAAAGCATCTGTCAGCAAGAAAATTAAACAAAAGGACTGAGGACTCGATTGCCTAATTCGTTATGTATTAAACTACTAATCCCTCAAAAAACTAATTTTCCCATCCCTTGAAAATTAACATTTAGACAATTCTCATTATCCTCATCTGTCATTTTGTAAATACATTCTCCCTTTTCCTGGGCTTAAACCATGGACGTAGGAGAAGGCTATTAAGGGTTTATTTTGTAATAAAAGTTAAACAATTTTAGAACAAAGTATAAGAAATAATTAGTTAAAACATGATACTAATGTATATGAGTAATAATATAAAATCGTTAACCCTTAACTGCTATAAGTCTAAAGTAAATAGATAAGTATTATAAGTGGGTCTACAAGACCCATTTTTTATATAAACAAAACAAACAATTTTTTTTGATAATTTTTTATTTATGAACTGAGATTACAAAATGAAGTACCATAAATGGTTACAAACTAAAGTTATTATTTACATTTTATGCATATTTAAACATAATATTGAAAACATACAGACATTTTACACTCTGCGCCAACATAGTTCGTTTTTCTATCTTTCTTGGCTGGACAAAGATGACATATCTTTCTTTTTCAATTCTCATTATTTCGAGGAGACTCAGGAACACTTAAAAATTTAGTGCTCAGAATATCTGCCGCAATTGCTTTAATCTGTCGGGGGACATTGGAGTTATATATTCTTCTCTTTATGTGTCTAATGTACAAACTTAAGACTAATTCTTTTAAGAATTTTTCCCGAGAGATAAAATTTCCTTTATTTATAAACTGATATAACACTCTGGCCTTCACTCACTGATATAACACTCACTGCCATTGGCCTTCTTTGTGATCTTTGAGCTACATAATAATTGGCACATTTCTGATCCAAGGCATCTACATCGGCCTTTGTTGAATTATGAAATAAAATAATGTCGGGATTTTTTGTTTCTCATCAACAACATTGTCATGGCGCATTGTATATATCAGTATTACACTTTTGACTTTCTTAGGTACATAAAATACCATGGTAATATCAGAAGTGAATCCAAACAAAGAAAAAGCAACTGGCCTTTTTTGAGGTAGAAATTCTGGCGGAATTTGCCAAATATTTTTTTTAATTGTGCCAACGTAAGTAATATCCTTTTTTTCTATTTACGAACAATGCCTACCGAAGTGTATCAATTATCGCCAGTCACAACGTCCTTTATCATGAATGGGTTAAATAACCCATAAATCCACTTGGGTAATATGACAGAAGGCTGCTTTGCAGTTTTGTTTTCGTTTTTGCCTCTGTATATTTCTGTGTTTTACATGTAATGCGTCTTGGAATCCGGTCAAATTTGTATTTTTAAGCCATATTTAGCTGGCTTATTTAGAATATACATTCTGAAGCCACATCGTTCCTTGAATGGAACTAACATTTCATCAATAATCAAAAACATTCAGGATAGTAGTTGTTGGAATAATTTTGTACAAATTGTGGAAATATATTAATTATTAGGGCCAATTTGGTATCTCTTCTTTTTTCAGTTCGTGTTGTAGCATCATTAAATCAGAGGCTAGACATTTTTTAAAGAAAACCTTGCCAGTGCCATTGTTCATCGAAATCAATCGCGGCCTGTTCCCTCAGTTGCCCACATTGAATGTAAAGCCTCGTGTCTAGATGTAAGAACTCCTTCATGCAAATCAAACCAATACACGCTACCGAATAACTTTCTTTAATTTTTATTTCGTTTGAATATCCGTATTGTTGTTTGATAACTTCAATTCTTTCATTGGTCCGAAGCACCTTCGGACCAGTATATCTAAAGTAATCAAAACTTTTCAAGTGTCTATACTTCTGTCAGAAGTATTAGCGTGAATAGCACATTTTAAATCAGGCAGAATTGTCACAATATTGAATTTGAGAGCATTAGTTCTTTTTGGAGGAATTTTCGACCATCTTGTTTTGTCTTTTTCGTAGTAGTTATTTCTTTGCTTTTCTTTATCCATCATGATCACTAAAAATTTCAAGGTCGCTATCTCTACCTTCGGCCATTTGGATGATATTTTTTCCTGCTTGTATCTAATCACCATTCACTAAAACATCTCATTCAACATATCGAAAACATAGTTTAAAGAGACTAAAAAACATAATAATGAAAAACTCTTATCCTATAGGCTTACTTAATAAATTAATTTTTAGTACTATAAACACTCCAGCCTTCATCACATTGATCGGCAATAGCAACAATAAAATATAAATTACAGTAAAAACGGCAAGACAAGAAATAAACAATAGCCCGGCAGTTAACACATTAGTACCACAACACCACAAACTTATGGATCTTTACCTTATATTTCATTCTTAAGACACAGAAATGTTAAAATCATACATATTTATATACTTAAATTGAAGATCCCCTAACAATTAAGGAAAGTTCCAAAGTAAAGTAGTGTATCAAATACCTTGCTCAGCCTGTGATAAGGTTTATATAGGAGAATTTTCTCGTACATTACACAGCAGAAATTTCTCACAAAAGTAATATAAAAACAAGAAAATCATAAACTCCAACCACTCGATTAATCCAAATCACAAGTTTTAGTTTTTCACAAGATTCAATTCTAGAGAGGCAGAAAATGAACAGAAGCGGTTATTTTTAGAAATGACACATATACAGGAAAATAAAAAATGTGTAAATAGAAAATCAGATATTAACAAATTAAGTAACATTTGTTGTTAATTACTAATATTTCTAATTTATTTTTCATCGAAAATCAGATTAATATTAAAAACTATTGTTAGTGGTTTTGTTTTCCACATAAAATAACTGTATACTATTCATATATGTATGTTAATCAACCAAACATGATAAAAATATAATTTCAAAGAACAAATTTTTTAAAAATTTTAATATGTGCGTGATTGTGCGTTTTGTAAAGTCTCACTTATTTGCAATCTCACGACTAGTAAGTAACAGAAATTAATAATGATAACTACAATAATTTTTATATTTATTTACTGTCAACAGATGTCTTGAAAAATAATTGAAATTGAGCTACGCTGTACCCAGTCAAATACTTTCTAGAAGTTTGAAAATATTAATATTAATGGCTTGTTTTATTCTATAACTGTCTCTATAAAGGATTTTGTAACTTGTAGGTGGTCATGCCTTCTGAAGCTATTTTGCTCTAGTGGTCGGTAAAAATCTAGCTTATGGCTTAGTCTGTAAGTGACTGTTGTTACCAATTTCTCATTGTAGTATTTTATTTTCTGGTGTAATTCCTTTCCTCTGTTGTAAACTTTTATTTAACATTCATATAAAAAAAGAACCCTTACAGTATTTTCGATTCTTTTTTAAAATACTTATTTCTTTTTAATGCATCTTCGGAATCTACAGTATTATTGTGCGAATTAATGGAATCACTGTGAATTTTTTTTCACTTTTTCAATATTTACAAGAAAATGTTTTGGGGATGTTTTTCATACATGGGGGTTGGATCTTTGGTGCCAATTGAAGGCATGATGAACAGCCAAAAATACAAATCCATGTTGGAAAAGTATTTGGACAAACAACTCCAAAAATGTCCACCTCAAGGAGGAGCGATTCTTCAACAGGACTCTGCTCCCTGTCACAAATCAAAGGAAATGATGGCATTTTTCAAAAATAAGAAGATTAATGTTTTAGATTGGCCCAGTAATTCTCCCGACCTCAACCTCATCGAAAATTTATGGGCCATTTGCAAAGCTAGACTGTGAAAAATCGACTGTAGCACTAAAACAAAAATAATAGAAGCGGCCATTCAGGTTTGGTATCGAGATAAAAGGATATCTGACAACTGCCAGAAACTCATATAATCTATGCCAAAACGGGTAAAAGCAGTAATTGCTGCCAAAGGGGGACATATTTCCTACTGAATGATGTAAGTTTACCTTTATAGTTTAGTCAAAATATAATTTTTTACTAAATAAACTGTTTTTTCATTAAAACAGCCTATGATTCCATTAATTCGCACAATACTGTATTTTCGCACGAAATCCATTTGATTCTAATGTAATTTAGAAATATTTATAATATATATCTAGTTTTGACCCATTTTGACCATACAGTTTCACATATGTTTAGGCAGTATGAGTGTTAAAGAAAACAAACAAACGCTAAAGCCATCCCTTTATAGCGCCCCAGGGACACGACCCTGATTCCAAATCTACGTATCCCGGCTGTATCCACCATAAACTCACTCAACTCAGGATTTTATCTAAATCATTTTCATGGATGTTTACCTAATCAAATTATGTTTAGATTACATTAAACTTAACTACTAGTTTTAGTGGCTAAGTACACAATACATACTGAGTAAATGTACAGTTATAAGCTTAAATCTATTTGACTTTGCCAGGGTGACGAAGTGTTTTATAATAAATAACTTATGAAGAGCGTATGTATGAGGTATATATGTATATACACGTATAAAGTAAAATAAATATTAAGCAAATCCTTCGAACATTTCAACTGGGTAAATAAAGGATTAGCCTCAGAATGTTTGGAAGATTAATAATTGAAGCATTAATAGTAGCACATGCGAACATTTAGAAACTAGTGCTTCGAATGATAGCAAGTTTAATGAAATTTTAATTTACCCTAAATAATACGAGGTAAACTGGAATGAATATCATAAAATTGGTTTTTAATCATTTTGAATATTTTTGTGTATCCAACGTATACATGTATGCTGTAACTAAATTAATATTATATATAAATATGTAATATTTTGGGTTTGCATAAACATCGACACTTTCTCTGTCACACTAACCTAAAATAATTATAAAAAATAGAAGAGACATGGAAACTGTAGTAATAA